CTAAACATTTTCTAGCAGCACAACATCAACTACTGACATTACACTTTATCGCAATTGATCATTTTCCCCCTCTTCCTCGTGGTGGTAACAGATCAAAATTATTATTACAGCGAGAGGCGTATTGGATACATCGACTGGAAACAGGATCACCAAAGGGACTGAATGAAAACATTGTACTGTCCATGTTTCTTTAAAAGGTGTAAAGCTCCTTGGACTCAGGATTAAGTGGCATTTACAGGGTTATTCGAGAGCACTTTTGTGTTAATTAATTAAATTATATATCTAAACCCTTCAAAATCAACTTTATAATTGGTGCCTGCTTCTTTAAACCAAATATAAGGTAGTAATATAGAAATAGTATGTTTTTTAAGTATGCCCATACTTTTTTTGTTTGTACTCCTTTGCAATTCTTTTGGAACTGAGTTTAGATTTTGCTAGAACTTCTTTCGTACTCTCGCTGTACCCCTTGTGTGTACTTTTTTTAGTGCTAACTAGAAATACGCTGGCATTTAGACTGTATATACATAATTTCAGAACTTTTTTCCTAAAATAAACATTTTAATGGAATACGTGACCTAGCCATCTAATAAGTAAATTAATTATCCCCCCAAAAAAATTTGAGCGTATTCCCTAATAAGATATGAGATATGAATATACCGTATTTTTCGCTCCATAAGACGCACTTTTTTTCCCCTCAAAAGTGAGGGGAAATGTCTGTGCGTCTTATGGAGCGAATGTGAAGAATTACTCACCTGTCTTGGAGCGTGGGCCGGCTTCACAGCGCGCTCCGCGGTCCAGGAACTTCTATTTCAGGTTCCGGTTTCCGGCGGGACTGAAAGGAAGTGCACACTCAGTGTGCACTTCCTTTCAGTCCCGCCGGAAACCGGAACCTGAAATAGAAGTTCCTGGACCGCGCTGTGAAGCCGGCCCACGCTCCAAGACAGGTAAGTAATTATGGGACAATGGGAGGGGAGACACTATGGGACAAGGGGAGGGGGACACACTATGGGACAAGGGGAGGGGGACACACTATGGGACAAGGGGAGGGGGAGACACTATGGGACAAGGGGAGGGGGAGACACTATGGGACAAGGGGAGGGGGAGACACTATGGGACAAGGGGAGGGGGAGACACTATGGGACAAGGGGAGGGGGAGACACTATGGGACAAGGGGAGGGGGGGAAGACACTATGGGACAAGGGGAGGGGGGGAGACACTATGGGACAAGGGGAGGGGGGACACTATGGGAGGGAAAGTGCACTATGCGACAATGGGAGGGGGGACACTATGGGATCAGAACACTAATGGACAAGGGGAGGAGGGGTTAAAGAACACTATGGGACAGGGTAGGAGGGGTTAACAATCACTATGGGACAGGGTAGGAGGGGTTAACAATCACTATGGGACAGGGTAGGAGGGGTTAACAATCACTATGGGACAGAGGAAAGGGGGGTTAAAGATCATTATGGGACAGGGGAGGAAAAAAAATATTCTGAACAAACTGTCCCATGGTAAGAAACACTATGGAACAGTTTGTTCAGAATATTTTTTTTTTCTGGGTTTCCTCCTCTAAAAACTAGGTGCGTCTTATGGTGAGGTGCGTCTTATGGAGCGAAAAATACGGTATATATATACACACACACACATACATACATACACACAAATACATATATACACATACACACTATAGATATATATAGATGAATAGTTTTTTCCCTACATAAATACTCATATATGAAAAGAGATTTTTCGCTATGTATAAATATTTAATTTCCTTTTCTAGTGGCTCACTTCTTATTTCATCTTCTTATATTTATACACTGCATGGATTGTATTCTCACTTGTTGCACTTATACACACGTTATATCACTCACTGTTTTTTCACATTATTTTCTTCACCCTAATCATTTTCTATTCTTTCTCTAAACTATACTTCCTATTAGGCATTCAATACTTATAGACATATCTACTCTTAAAAACATATTTCCTCCATGTTCTCTAGGTGATGGATTATATTTGCCGTAGTTGCGCCTAGTTTCTATGGCATATTCATACAGCAATGTACCTTTCTATCTTTGTAACTGAGCAACCACGCACACGAGATGCACGTCACATTCATCACTTCTGGGTGCAATCAGTCGACGGGATGTCATATCACTTGTAAATACATATGTTTATACTTGCACTGTGATCTTGAAAAAGACCCGAATTGGGTCTAAAAGTTGATTTGGATGTACACAGCTTATAAGATTTAAAACATTGTTTTTATACACACACACACACACACACACACACACACACACACACACACACACACACACACACACACACACACACACACACACACACACACACACACACACACACACACACACACACACACACACACACACACACACACACACACACACACACACACACACACACACACACACACACACACACACACACACACACACACACACACACACACACACACACACACACACACACACACACACACACACACACACACACACACACCACTCTAGCCAGTTCATCAAGAAGAGTGGACACGGATACAGGTTCACGAGTGGAGTTACCATCAGTCACCTACTCTACATGGACGACATCGAGCTGTATGCCAAGAATGAGCGGGACATTGACTCACTGATCCATTTAACTAGGATACACAGCAAGGACATAGGAATGTTGTTCGGTCAAGAGAAGTACGGGCGGATGATAGCAAAAAGAGGAAAGATGATCAGGACAAATCACACACACACACACTGTTTTTTTTAGAGCAGATACCGATATTCTGTGAACTTTCAGGCCGATAACTTACCGATATTCTGTACATTTACCATTTTGAGAAAATAAACTATTTCTAAAAGGTAAATGCACAAAATATACATGCCACGTGTAGTGTATGCAGTGTGTTTAGACAGGGGAGCTGTGTGTGTTTGTGTAGTGGATGCAGTATGTATTTGTGTAGTGTGTATATAATGAATGCAGAGTGTGTTTGTGTAGTGTGGATAGTGAATGCAGTGTTTATGTAGTGTGTATATAATTAATGCAGAGTGTGTGTTTGTGTAGTGTGTATAGTGAATGTAGTGTGTGTAGTGAATGCAGTGTGTGTTAATACTAAGTGCAAAGTGTGTGTTTGTGCAGTATGTGTATTTAATGAATGCAGAGTGTGTGTGTGTGTGTAGTGTGTTTATATAATGCAGTATGTTTGTGTAGTGTGCATTATATAAACACACTACACAAACACACTGCATTATATACACACACACACACTGCATTATATAAACACTACACATACACACACTACATAAACACACTGCATTATACACACAGTGTGTTTGTGTAGTGTGTTTATATAATGCAGTATGTGTGTGTTTCTGTAGGTATGTAATTAGGGGGGAGGGACATTTTTTATTTAAATATTTAAGTTTGATTTATTTTTTAGTCCCCCCTCCCTGCTTGTTACCTGGCCAGGGAGGGGGGGGATATGGCATTCCCTGGTGGTCCGGTGGCATGGACTGTACAGTGGGGGCCCGCAGCAAGCGCCTACTTACCTTCCCTTCAGCTTCCTGTGTAAATCTTGCGGCCAACGTGCCGCACGGAGCATTGCCATGGTAGCCTGAGGCAACGCTCTGACGGCCGCGAGACTCACGAGACAGGGGGGGCTGAAGGAAAGTAAGCTCTTGCTGCGGGCCCCCCAGGAGCGCTGGGTTTGTAATGGGCCTCTGTTGGCAGATACCGATACCCATTCGGTGCTGTATGTGCATAGTACACCGAGTGCTGAGTGTTCAAAGGAATACCTTGCATTGGGTGCTCTGTGTGCCCATCAGGGTGCCTGTAATGGAGGACTTGACAAATTTGTTTGGAATCAAGGAGCCAGCTAAAAAAGGTAGGATCCTTTTTTTTAAAGGAACACTATCGTCACCAGAACCACTACAGATTAATGTTGTTCTGCTGCCTATAGCCTGTCCTTGTAGCCTTTTCAATGTAAACGCTACCTTTTCAGAGAAAAGGCAGTGTTTACATTGCTGCCTACTAAGACCTCTAGTGACAGTCACTCAGACGGCCACTAGAGAGTCCTGTGTCAGTGCTGAATATTACCCATAGAAAACATGTGTAATATCCTCCCAATGCTTTCAAATGGGAAAGCATTGGCTTAGCAAAGATCATTAAGATCTCAGCTATGGAGGCGGGACAAGCCACTACGAAACCAGCATGGCGTGGGAAAACATGTGAGTAAAAAACACCAATAATGTGATTGGAGGGGGGCAGGTACCTAAACAAACACACACTCTCTCACAGACATTCACATGCACACACTGACAGACAGACATACACACATTGAAAGAGGCATACACACAGGGGCGGACTGACCGGTCGGGCACTTCGGACACGGTCCGAGGGCCCGGCCGGGAGGGGGGCCCGCCGCCAGGGCCGCCTTCAGGGGGCCCTGGCGGCAGGGCTGGATTGGGGACTTCAGAGGAAGGTGCCACCGGGTGGCCGGCCCGGTGGCACACTGTGAGGGGGCCGGCCGTTTCATGCTGGAGCCGCCGGACCGGGTGGCAGCCTCGCCGGTCCGGCGGCACTAACGCTGAAGGAGGAGGAGGAGGAGCATGTGTCTATCATGCTCCTTTGCGGTTCCCACATTCATGCTCCAGCATGAAACGGCCGGCCCCCTCTGACTTGAGTAAGAGAAAAGAGGACAATAAGATAGGGGAGGGAAAGAGGGACTTGTAGAGATGGGGAGGGGGAACAGAGAGATGGGGAGGGAAAGAGGGACAATAGAGATGGGGAGGGAGAAAGAGGGGAAAAAGAGATATGGGGAGAACAGGAGGTTGGTGGAGTGGTGAGGGAAAAAGAAATATGGAAAAAAGAGAACAAAGATATAGAGAGAGAGACAGGCAGAAAGAGAGAAAATGAACCACAGGAGAAAAAGAGAATAAAGATAAGAGGAAGGAGAACACAGAGAAAAGAGATGGGGAGGGGGAGAAAGAGACAGAGAGGAAGAGAGATGTGGGGGAGAGAGAGAGAGACAGGGAAAGGGGGGAGAAAATCAGTGGAAGAGAGGGAGAAAGAGGCAGAGGGGTAAGAGAGACTCGGAAGGAGGGGGGAGAAAGAAACATACAGAGGGACGGGGGGAGACAAAAAGGCACACAGAAGGGCTGTATATATCACTGGTGGATCCAGGGGGGCAACAGGGCAATTGCTCCCCCTCCCCTGTCCGCAGGCACCGTGCGGGCAGGGGAGGAAGGAAGAGAGGACCTGGGAGCTCACCTTGCAGCTCCTCTGGGTCCTTCTTGCACGAGCACAGAGCGTTGCCGCGATTACCATGGCAACGTTACCGCTCTTGCGAGAGTCAACTCTAGCCCTGGAGCTACGGTCTAGTGTTCACTCTCAGCACTGTGACCCCCAGGGATTCCTGGTGGTCGCAGTGGTGAGAGTGAACTCTAGCCCCATAAACACACTGCCCCCACACACACACCATACACATTCACACACTGCCCCCATACACATTTACACACATTGCCTCACACACACACATACACTGCCCTCCCATATACACATAGACCCCCATACACAGCCCCCCATACTAACATTGCCACACACGTACACAACCCACACACCCTACACATTCACACACTACACCCCCCACACACACTGAACCTTTCACACACATTGCACCACTGCTCCTATTCCCTACTACAGCCCCATATCCCAGCAGATCCCAGGTAAGTTGTCAAACTGTTCTTAAATGGTTTGACTACTTACTCTGGAGCAGTAGTGGTTATTGTGCATGGATAATTTTTTAAAAATAATCTACAAGTGCCCCAGTAGCCAGCCAGCCAACCCACAGGCTGGCCAGTAGCCAGCCAGTTAGCCAGCCCACAGGCCTACAGCAAGCCACAGGCTTACAGCCAGCAAGCCCACAGCCTGCCAGTCGCAGCCAGCAAGCCACAGCCTGCCAGCCGCAGTCAGCAAGCCCACAGCCTGCCAGCCGCAGTCAGCAAGCCCACAGCCTGCCAGCCGCAGTCAGCAAGCCCACAGCCTGCCAGCCGCAGTCAGCAAGCCCACAGCCTGCCGGCAGTAGCCAGCAAGCCCACAGCCTGCCAGCCGCAGCAAGCAAGCCCACAGACTGCCAGCCAGCAACAGTAATTAAGGTAAGAGGAGCCAACTTGGCCTAGGTATCAGCGAGCTATGTTGTGTTGCTATATTGTGAATAGGAACCAGAGTGTTGGAGAGACCACCCTCCAGGCCCCATTAGACTCCATTGCAGTCTCTAATGGGGCCTGGAGGAGATTCTTTCTAACACACTCTCTAAAGAACACTGAGATAGCCTCTGCTAGAAATCCCCTCCATGGCCCATTAGCCCTCAATTGTAGTCTCTACTGGGGCCTGGAGGCGACTGTTTCCAGCAGGGGCTATCTAATGGACGCTGAGATGGCCTCTGTTAGAAAGACCCCCTTCCAAGCCTATTAGACTCCATTGTAGTCTCTAATGGGGCCTTGAGGGGATTCTTTCTAACACACTCTCTAAAGGACACTGAGATAGCCTCTGCTAGAAATCCCCTCCATGGCCCATTAGCCCTCAATTGTAGTCTCTGCTGGGGCCTCGAAGGGCTTATTGCCCTTTTGTTCCTTGTGTCTAAAGATTGTGTAGGGTGTGGCTGGAGGCGGTGCATGGAGGCGGGACAAGGGTGGCACTTGCTGCAGAGTATGGGTGGGGCCTGTAAGGGGGCCCTTGATTTATTTTGCCCGGGGGCCCTGAGGGTTCTCAGTCCGCCCCTGCATACACACACACTTTCTCTAACACTCACATATTTATATTTTTAATTCAAATCCACCCAGCCTCCCTACCATTGGGAGAGTGGAGTGGACTTTCCCTGAGGTCCAGTGTGGCTGCTATTCATGGTGCGAGGGAGCAGTGATCTTCCTGCAGCTCCACTCTGTTCCTTTGCATGGTCTGCAGTGATGCTGGGGCCGGAATGATGTCATATTCTGGCTCCCGGCATCATTACACAGCGCGAGGGAGCAGAGAGGAGCTGCAGGACGATCGCTGCCCCAGCCTGCCGCCTCCAAAATAACCAGGGCGGCCATCTACATGCTCCCTGAACCAGCCACCTCCATACAGCCCAGGGCGGTCGGCACATGCTCCCTGAGCCAGCCGCCTAAATGCTCCTGCGGGCGGGCAGATGGCTGGCTCCACTGTTTGCACAGCTGGCCACTTTAGGGAAAAAGTTGACAAATCCCAGGCGCCAGGACAAAATTTCTAGTCGCCATGGCGACCTGCCACCTGGGATTTGTCGAGCCCTGCTGTAATGAATGCTGCTCTGCCAAGGAATGCCCTTCATTGGGTACTGTCGTGCACCAAGGGCTGTCTGTGCCAATGAGGGTGCCCTGCAATGAGTAACCCTGCATTGTCTGTGCACAGGAATACCTTGCACTGGGTGATGTCTGTGCCCAACAGGGTGCCCTGCACTAGATGTGGTCTGTGCCAGTGAGGGTGCTCTGCAATGGGTGCTGTCTGGGCCAGTGAGGGTGCTCTGCAATGGGTGCTGTCTGGGCCAGTGAGGGTGCTCTGCATTTGGTGCTGTATGTACCAGTGAGGTACCTTTGCAATGGGGTGAGGGTGCTCTGCAATGGGTGCTGTCTGGGCCAGTGAGGCTAAAAGTGTATTTTAGTGTATTTTATTATTTGCAGTTTTGTTTAGGTGTGATTCAGTGGCACAATAAGCAAATTAACTCCAAATAATAAAATACGCTAAAATACACTTTTACCCCCAAATTCCAGGTAAGACAAATTACTATAGGAATTATTTTGCTTTCACTCTCTATATATAGATATATACACTGTATACACTCTCTATATATAGATATATACAGTATACACACTATGTATGCTCTCTCTCTACACACACACACAGTATATTTTTTCTCTCTCTCTCTCTATACACAGTATATATTCTCTCTCTTTATACAGTATATATATATATATACACACACATACAGTATATTCTCTCTAAACAGCATATATTTCTCTCTCTCTCTCTCTCTATACACACACATACAGTATATTCTCTCTCTTTCTATATATATATATATACACACACACACACACAGTATATTCTCTCTCTATACAGTATATATATACACACACACAGTATATTCTCTCTCTCTCTCTCTCTACACAGTATATTCTCTCTCTATATACAATATATATATACACACACACACACACACACACACACACAGTATATTCATTCTCATTCTCTCTCTCCAGTTTATTTGCCCCCTGTTTATGTATAACATGGTAATCTGATTCTTTTAATGGTGAGAGTATCCCTCTAACATCATATCTGCTCTCCCCCCCGTGCCCTGTGTCTCTCTTGGTTCCTGCACTAGCCAGGGTGCCTCCCTAGCCCGCTGTCTCCGGTGATAGCCCACTCACCCTGCTCAGCGCCCTGGCTGTCACTCCTGAATCGATTCGCTCGGCGCTCCTGAGGAAGCCTGGCAGAGGAGGAGCGCCGAGTCATCAATAGATAAGCTCAACCATAGAGCTCAACAGGAAAATAAACAGGATATTAATCGAACACCGATGCATCGATCTTATGATGGAGACATCGGGAAGGCAGCTGGTGGAGGAAGGGACGGGGAGGGGTTAAGCTTCATTTCATCAATAGGTAATCTGACTGAGAAGGAAGGGGAGAGTGGATGAGCGCCGAATCATTCACAAACAGGCTTGGTATCTAGGAATATAAGTGTATCGTTGAATCATCGATGGTCTTTTGGGCGGATGAATGAGTAATACAATGCTGTGGGTTGGGATAATGATTAGAAGAAGATACATTTATTTGTTTATATACAGGGTGAGGCTCTTGCTATTTATATGCAATTATTAAAAAAAAAGGAAAGAAAAATCTGAAATACAAAATATATAAAAGGTAAACTGGTCTGAGAATCAATTAATGCAAATATAAGTTATCCCAACCTTTTCAGTAGCTGTCCAGCATTGGTCACTGCTAGCTCACTTGATATACAGTAATATAGTCATGCAGCTTGAAAACAGACCCAGGTCCATCAAGCTTAACCCCTTAAGGACCAAACTTCTGGAATAAAAAGGAATCATGACATGTCACACATGTCATGTGTCCTTAAGGGGTTAAAGGGACACTCCAGGCACCCAGACTACTTCTGCCCATTGGAGTGGTCTGGGTGCCAACTCCCACTACCCTTAACCCTGCAACTGTAATTATTGCAGTTTTCCTAAACTGCAATATTTACCTTGCAGGGGTAACTCCTCCTCTTGTGGCTGTCTACTAGACTGCCACTAGAGGGCACTTCCGGGTTTCTAGCACACGAAAAGTGTGATATAGCGTCGCTGGACGTCCTCACGCTATGTGAGGACCTCCAGCGGCGCTGAAATCCCCATAGGAAAGCATTGAAAGCATTTTTCAATGCTTTCCTATGGGGAGGTCTAATACGCGCATGGGCATTAGGTCTCCCCCGCCGGCTGCCGCGCATGCTCAATAGGTGTCCCCTGCCGGATGACGTCGCCGGGGGAGTAGTGTGGGCGGACCCTGAACCAGCGCCGAGAGACATCGGCAAATTGGGATGGGGGGTGGGAGGGAGAGGGGACCTGCAGTTGCAGGAAAACGGTTTGTTTGTTGTTTGTTAGTTCTTAAAGGGACACTATAGTCATCAGAACAACTACAGCTTATTGAATTTGTTCTGGGGTGTAGAATCATTACCTTTAGGCTTTTTGCTGTAAACACTGTGTTTTCAGAGAAAATGCAGTGTTTACATTACAGCCTAGTGATAACTTCACTGGCCACTCCTTGGATAGCTGTTAGAGATCCTTCCTGGGTCATGGCTGCCTAAAATGCATCCAAACATTCAGTATCTCCTCCCTCTGCATGCAGACACTGAACTTTCCTCATAGAGATTCATTGATTCAATTCATCTCTATGAGGAGATGCTGATTGACCAGGGCTGTGTTTGAATCATGCGGGCTCTGCCCCTGATCTGCCTCCTTGTCAGTCTCAGCCAATCCTATGGGGAAGCACTGTGATTGGATCAGCAGACAGCTTGTTTTTTTTAGGCAAACAGCATGCAGATTTACAGCTTCTGTGTTGAATACAGTAAGATGCTGCTATATAAATGGAGGCACGAGGGACCCTGGGGGGCTAGATGGTGACTTTAACACCATAGGGTCAGGAATACATGTTTTGACCCTATAGTGATCCTTTAAAACTCGAACTACATTGACAACATCAGATTACTTCCGGTACCTACAGGTCAGGGACTTTGCCCAACGACCACATATCAAACAAGCTGCCTGAACACAACTGACATTCTTTGAAAAGATCTGCAGCGCAGAAACCTATCAAAAGGGCCTCATTACCAGGCAGATCAATGGGAAGCAGAGCTGGGGAAGACACTAGAGGGCACTGACTGGCGGGACATCTGGGAAGCCAATGGGCACACCTCAATATGTGTTACAATGCAAGAACAATCATACAAAATGATGTTCCGGTGGTACACCACCCGGTCAAGCTTTATCACATGCACAAAACCCCAACCGACCAATGTTGGCGACTATGTAGACATAAGGGCACGTACAAACATATGTGGTGGGACTGCCTCCAAGATCCAAACGCTGTGGCGAAAAGTAAGTAAACTGATAGCAAACATTTTCCATAGACAAATGACACCAAAACCATGGGTTCTCTTGCTATCTAGACCACTCTATGGATGGACCAGACCAGAACAAAAACTAATTCACAAAATAGCCCTGGCAGCCAGAAGGTCAATAGCCCAGACCTGGCTGGGAGTAGAAGTCCCGTCCATGGACATGATATTACTAAAAAAGGCCCGTACCTCATGGACAAACTGACTGCCCAAGTGAGAGGAACACTTCTCCGTTCCCCTCTCCCCCGGTCAATGGCATTTGTTGGCAGAGTAGGCACCTGTCATCAAGGTAAGCAGGTGCCTGCTCTGCCTCACCTGGCACAGCTTCCGGGGCACCCTTAGGTGGCCAGATGGCCACCTCCTGGCCCCCCTGTGACAAGGCCCGGCGCTGGGGGAGGCACAAAAGCGCTGCGGCTCCAGACGGGCAGGCAGCCCACCAGGAAACATCCCGCAGGCCGGCGCCCTATGCAGATGCCTAGTTCGCCTAACGGTTGTGCCGGCCCTGATCCTAACACAGACTACAGATAGACTGCAGATATCAAGGACTTTGCAAACATTAACTGAATATGGAGCGAGCTTGGAGCGCCTATTCAATGATTTCTATACTAGAATGTATAATATAGCTTCAGCTGAGGTGTAATTCCCATACAGCCAGCCTCTTGAGCTTAGTGTGCCTCAACCCAAAGTTTCCGTAGTGAATCTATGAAAACCTAGATGCCTGAGATTCCAGAAGCCTTGATAGTCCCTTAATTCAATGGGTGGCTCTGCAATTGGATCCCAAGGTAGGTATGTGTATCAGCACCTGGATAACATTATATCATATGTGGAGAGTGAATTACATTGTGGTTATAGACTTTGTGGAGGCACTGCTATTTTTTTCTGCTCTCTTCATGGGCTTTAGACTTTTTTCGTGGGCTTATAGTATTTTCTGCTGTGGACACAAGTATCTGTACACATAAACAGAACATGCTTTGTATGAGGATTTAAAAATGCCATAGGAAAGTACTGAGTCATTCCTTTCCTATGGGGAAGGCCTAATGTGCACATGTGCATTAGGTTTCTCCATCGGCTGACGTTAGAGTATGCAGAGCCCAACCCAACAACGAGACCTTTTTACTGGCTGTGGGCCGTGGAGGCAGAGGGAAACTGTAATGTTTGGATTCAACTTTACACCAAACTTTTCCTAACTATCCTCAGCATATGTTTATGGTATCCTTAACGTTTTCCAGAATATAAGTACACCTAGGCGTGTGAAATGTGTTAGTTCCTTTTGACACCTGTGACTTGTTTTAAAACCACACAATGTGTATCACAGTAACATGGACACTTACATTATTTTGAAATACTTCAGCAGCAGAAAGGACAGAAGGAGATACAAAATATAATGTTAATCCATTTATATACAAAATAAAAGGACAAGTGGTAATACAGCACACTCACATGTGGGGGAGCAGATCAGTACTGCCCAAACTCCTTGCGCTTGAAATAATATTCACCAACAGGCAATGCCCAGGACATACGGCAAGAACTGTAACATTTAGTAGAAAATCGTCTTTATTTGATAAAATCAGCAATACAGATATAAATCGCCACTCTTGCCTCAATACACAATAAGCATCAACTCTCATACAGCGAGAACATTTCTATAAGCATGGTCCCAGCTCCCCAGTGTCTGACTCATGGGCTTTACAAACTCCACTGATTTTGCAGAGTTTGTAGCAGAGCCATTTTATCCATGAGGTTTACTTGACTTGGCACAAAGCACTCACAACACTTTATTCAATATAGGGAACCATAAAATTCACCTATTGTGCTTACATACAGTCAGTAATGAAGAATATCTACCTGCTAATGATGTGGTCAATGTCATCTATCAAAGATTCATTGGTTACATGACATGATGCCCACATCTGATGCTGTTAATTGTTTCTATTTGCATAACCCTGACATCCCTCTCTGCATTACCAACCTCTGACACTAGGAGGGGCCACAAGATAAAGCATGACAGGGATGGGTCATTGTTGAGTCAAAATGGAGCAGAATCTTACCCTCAAATACATTGTGAATGCCTCCCATGGCCATTGACCCATTCAGTACCAGAGGGTGAAAGCTTGTGTTATGTGCAGAGCCATGTGACCCTGATTAGATTAGAATGCCATTTATGTAAATAAGTGAATTGAGTCATTGAGAAACACTGTTTCCAGCCAAAGGTCCTCTTGCAGAAATTGCTATTACTTCTGTCTTCCTTTTTAAGACTCAAAACGGGACTCATTGATCATTTTAATATAAACTCATACTAGTTAATAGGGTCTCAGTAAGGTTCACCATATTATGTAACCAACCCCAATACAGATTTATATCTTCAGATTTTTGTTTCACGATATATCTATTTATGAGATGATTTTTGAGTTTTAGTGTAACAATCCCAATTCGTAATTCCACCAACAAAATAAGTACTATCAGATCAGGGGCACAGCACATCAGCAATGGAATGAACACATTCCCAGTAAATGCATGTAGTTACATGCCAAGGTAGCAGAGTAACTGGCGCACCAAGATTTGAGGACAAAGTAAGATGTAAATGCTTTCAATCGTTTTAATGTTGCTTTTAAATTTGAGGCCTCAGAATTATGCATATTTTTTATCTTTCTCCTTCTCACAGGTTACTTGTATTGTGGAAGATTTATCAAAGTGATACAAAGATATGTAGATAATAGAGTAATCACCAATAGAATGTACCCGTTTATTCCTCTGGTTTCCATAGTGATTGATCCACTTTTATTACTGTGCACCACTATTTTAACATTGAAAAAC